TCTACTAGGCCTCATTTGGGAAGCTTTTTATTTACTGTTCACAACTGTGCCCATAATAAAAAAATATTCTTACCTTCTTGAAAGCATCTTGTATCACACCAGACTTCTCCTTCAGTAGGTCTACAACATAAAGAGCCTCATCTTCGGAAAATATCATAGTCTTCAAGGACAGAAGAAAATCTTTAAATTTCACTTCAGCATTTTCTTAATTAAAAAAAAAAAAAAAAAAAAAAAGAGGGGAAGCAGTTGGCATTTAGAGATACAAGCAGTAACCTGAGCAAAGGTAAATATCAAAAATTCCTGGCCCAGTAAGTCAATAACCAAGAGAAAACAGACTTAATCTTCAGGTCAAGTCACAATGGATGTTCCTGTTAAGAGGGAAAAATTAAATTAGCTAAAAGTCTGCCCAGACTACAGAATAATAAATTGCCAATATGCTCTTACTTTTTATTATATACATTTATTTATTTATTGGGGGGAGGAGGTCACAGCATAGATATGAAGGTAGGTCGAGGACAATTAGCATGAGTTGGTTCTTTCCCTCCACCATATGGGTCCCCAGAACTGAAATCAGGCTATCAGGATTGGCAGCAAGTACCTTTATCTGCTAAGTCATCTCATTAGCCCTGTCCTCACTTCCAAAAACATTTAAACATCTAGGATATGTTAGTGCCTACATTAGATATATTCGTAATATCTTCATTTAACTTTAATAATCCTAACATATAAACCAAATTCCACAGCTGTTCTAGGATAATTATAAAAATGTAATCTGCTTCTACAAGGATCAAATAAATAAACACAAGCAATTCTGACATTAAAATAATGTATGTTTAAAACACCTCCTGGATTGACCCAATCCTAATTCCCCTAGAACTCCTATTAGGCATCAACCTCTCTTCAAGAACTTCCACCCATCAGACCCAAAGCAGCTAACCTAGGGCTTTTACACATCGGTTACGTGCATGTATAGAGTGAAGGGATAGGCAAACTCTATATTTTCCACTCAATTTTGATATTAACCTAAAACTGCTCCTAAAAGAAATATGTTATTATTGAGATACTGCCACTTTATGTAGTGCAGGCTGGTCTCAAACTCACAATCATCCTACCTCACTCTCCAGAGTGTTGGGAAAACAAAAATGCGCCCAGTTAAAAAAGTCTATTTAAAGGAGTGGGGGCGGGGTGCATAGCTAGAGCATGCTCTCCAAGCATGCATGTAGCTCTGGATTTGATCTTCAGCATCAAAAAAAAAGGCAGCTGTGAACTAGTCTGTGAATATAAATCTTACAGGGAATAATAAAAGCAGGTAAAGATCATCAAATGCCAAAACAGTTTTAGGACCTTGTACAAGCCACACTCCAGTGTCCATGTCCACAAAATTGAAGAGGATGGATTGAAGACCAGCTTCTTAAACTGTGAGTCACGTAACTAAATGTGGGAGTTGAAAAAAAGTCAACAAAAGTAAAAGATTTCTAAACATACAACCAAAAATTAATTCAAAATCAAACACATAAAGAATCTGATGCATTTCTGGCCATGATGCCTATGCTGTACTGTGTAACTCCACTGCACCCTTGGTTCTGAACACACAATGTACCACACATGCTGTCACACCACTTAATGACAACAGATGGTGCCTGAAACACTTCCGCTTGGATTCTGTAGCATTCCAGGTTATAAACTATAGTGTTTTTACTGTATATACAAAGTTTACTACTTTTAGAGAAACAATACTTTAACAACAGAAAACAAAGCCCTGATGTTTTCCTATCATTCCTCAGCATGTGCCAAATCAGTTTATCTTTGGATTGTATTGTTAGAATGTCTGATTTTAAAATTGCTGTTTCATGGGGACTAGAGAAATGGCTCAGCAGTTAAGAAATCTTGCAGTTTTTCCACAGGATCTGCATTTGGTTTCCAGTACCCACATGGTAGCCAACAACTGTCAATAACTCCAGTTCCAGGGGACCAATACCCGCTCTGGCCTCTGTGGGCACTGCATGCATGTGATATACTTACATACATGCGGGCAAAACCCACATACACATAAAATTAAAAAATAATAAAACACCTTAAATTTGTTTCATTTCAGTTGTTGACTTGCGTTTAAAAGAATATTAAATGAATTTTGGCTTGAGATTAGGGCAGAATTTCCAACAAATTCTGAAATGGTCCTGAAGATGTTCTGCAATTTTTTTTTTAATTTTATTTATTATTTTTATTTTATGTGTGTGTTACGCCTGCATGTAGATAAGTGCACCCGTGTTGTGCAAGGATGTTCTGCTATTTTATACTTCATATTTATGTGAAGCAGCAATCTCTGCACTGAGGATTTTAAAATCAAAACATCAACCAACTCAGAAAGATGTAGGTGTCCTGAATACCAAATATCTAATCATTTAATTCTGTATGTAAAAATAAACAACCATATCCAGCTCATTAAAATG